AATAAACGCCCACACACACACACACAAAAAAAAAGCACACACAAACACAAAGAGAGAGAGAGAGAAATAAACATAAATATTAACGGAATACAGTGAGGAAGATGTGTGGTTCTCTGTTGTTTTGTTTTTTTGTGTTTTGTTTTGTTTTGACTTCCTTTTCTTTGGGAGTGAGTGAGTGAGTGAGTGAGAGAAAAGACAAAAAAAAAAAAACCCCACCAAAAAACAGAAAAAAAAAAAAAAAAGCAAGCGGGAGGAGAAAAAAAGTACACCCAAACAGACACACACACACACACAGAGAGAGAGAGAGAGAGAAAGACGTGCATGCACGCATGTACACAGCTCAACTAGACAAGTGTAAAAACGTGTAAAAACGAAGTAGAAAAAAAAAAAAGAGTCCCTCTCAAGCACACAATCATACAATTAAAATAAATAAGGTGAGAGAAAAGAAAAGAAAAGAAGTTGGGAAGAAAACAAGAAGAAGAAAGAAAAGAAAAAAAAAAAAAAGAAAAGAAAAAAAAAGGGATGGGCCCAGTAAAAAACAAAAACAAACACAAAAAAAAGGCGAATTCCCTTTCAGGCGATACACTCGACTCAAAGAAGTCAACACAACACGGACGCACACACGCAGAAGAGAAGAGAGAAAAAGGGGAGCCATTGTGGCGGCCGCATATTTGTGTGAGATGGACTGAGCCAAAAGGCCGGCCAAACAAACACACACACACACAAAAAAAAAAAAAGGGAGAAAAGAAAAAAGACATGCAGTCAGGCAATATTACGACGGCGCACACCCATGCAAGCTGGCGGTGAATGCGTGCTTCCGTGGAGAGGCACGTCCCTCCCTCTTTCCCCCCTCCCTCCCCATCCCTCCCCATCCCTCTTTTTTTTCTACCCCCTTCTTATTGTTATTCTTCCATTCATCCCATCACAATTTTTCATCCCTGCACGGAAAAGAGCGCTGCCGTTGGCAACAACACATACATACATGCATACAACAGACATGAGGGGGGAAGATCTTTTTTTTTTTTGTTTATTTTATTTTTGTTTTTATTTATTTATTTATTTTAATAAATAATAACAATAATTAAAAATAAAAGGCAGCAGGAAGTGGAAGAATAATAATAATAAACAAAACAACAACAACAACAACGACAGCCAAAGCGCTTCACAAATAACCGTTTCCTTTTTTTTTTGTTTGCCAACAAATCAAAGTGCCGCTGCTGCTGCTGCAGGTGCTGCGGTGGTGGGAGGAGGAAGAGGAAGAAAAGAGAAGGAGGAGAATGAGGGAAGAAAAGTCTGCTGGGCGTTGATAACTCTGTGGCGAAAAAAAAAAAAAAAGGGAGAGAGAGAGAGCAGGAGAAAGAAAAATAAAATAAAACAAACAAACAAACAAACAAAAAAAATAAAATGAGGGGGAAAATAAATAAAAACGGAAAAAAAGGGGGCCGCCACACAAACACACAACACGATACGCAGGAATAATAATAATAATAATGGTAATAAAGGGTCGGGCATATTTATATTTATATCCCCGCAAAAAAAAAAAAAAAAAAAAAAAAACTGAGAAA